GGTCTCTATGAGTCAGAATCGACTCGACAGCAATTTTTTTTTTTTTTTTTAATGCAGTGATTTAACCTGCTTTTTACTTTTAACTTGCCAATGCTTCGTATCAGCAAGCTGGGTTAATCAGAACTTGGCTATCTGCAGCTGCACTGAACTTGAATGTGGAAAAAGAAGGAAAGCAAGCTAATTGGAGGAAGCATGCTGTGCTGTAGTGAAATGTAATTTCACTGATATTCATATTCAGCCTTTCTGGATCTCATTTTTGTCATCTGTTAAGAAAAAAAAAGGAGTTGAAAATTAATGACCTCTGAGGTTTTATATATTTGTAATTAAGCACAATCATTTTTTTTTTCCAAATGAAATCTTACGTGAAACTGAAATGTAAAAAATATAGATGAAAGCAGAACTGCTTTGGTGAGAGTATGCGTGTGCGTGTGGGTGTCTGGAATCCACCCTGTTGATTTCACCTCCCCCACTACCATGCTCAGAAACTGCTGGAACACTGACTCAGAAAATGAGGATTCTTAGAAACACAGTTTGAAAAGCATGGCTCGGCGTCTAATTTGTGATTCAATTCACTTCTATTACATGAGTGTTGATTTAGGTCCACCACCACGTTTACAGCTACTTGTAGATAAAAAAGTGATTGGCTCATTCTTCAAAACAATATTGAATGCAAGAACAGCAAAATGCAACAGGATTTCAACATCACTTCGAGTTCACCACGATGAGATTCAGTCAGAAGATGTTATCTGTGAAAGATTAGTTGCTGTTCAGTATAGTACATGAAGAAATACAATGAGCAAAACACTGTGCTTTATTGTGAAGAACAATCGTTTGTTAACTTGACAGATGCAACATATCATGATAGCAAGTATTTCTTTACACACTTTTATGCAAACATTGAAAAGTGTTTGGGAGGGAATCTTTGCTATGAGAAAATAATACCCGTTCCCAAAACAAATAGGATGTGGGAAATTCAATATGCATCTCACTTACTTATAGAAAACTCTCAGCCTTGATGATAGAAGGTAAACTGGACCAATTAATGGATTTTATCAGAGCACTTTAGGCTATGGTTGTGGTGAAACAACTCAACACCAGTCCCCAACATGAGTTGGAGAGGCTAGCGCTGTAGAAAAGATATTAGACCCAGGGACTGATGTCAGTGTGAATTCAGATAAGATCTGTCTTTTGCAATTATTCTCAGGAAAATGCCCCAAATAGCAGATCCCTTGGGTGGCATGAGCCAGGATGCCATGACTTTCACAGTGTCAGTAGCAGAACCCTTGCAAGAAGCCCAGACCTCAGTTATTTCCATTGCAATAGAGCCTCTACTCCTCTATTCTCTTTGACAGGCTAAGTTTAGTCATCTTCCTTAACCCATGTTCTTTGTCAGCATCGAGGGATGATATCACATTTCCTATTATTAGTGCAAAGAAGAGAGGAAAGGAAAATGTATTACCTGGATGCAATCCAACAAGATTAAGAGGGATATAGGAATTCATGATAAGAGACATACGTATTTCCTTGGCTCTTGATTCCCTCTCAACTACCCCTTTCTAAGGGAAGGACAATAACATTTTTTTTTTAAGTTTAACTTTTTTATGTAGATAATATTCCAATGGTTCAAAAGCCAGTATAAATAAGTATACAACAAAAAGTCTTCCTCCCATAATTGTCCCCTGACTACCTAGTTCTCTCCTGATGAGTCAAACCTATTCTTAGTTTCTTGTGTCACCTTCCAGAAATTCTTTAGTCATATACAAACAAATACAAATAAAGATTCTTATTTTAGGAAAACTAAGCAGATAATTTTTAAGATCCACCCTAAAAAGTGATAATATGCCTTCTCATACCTAAAGCTTCTGATTTTTCTATTGTAAATTGTGTTACACAGGACAGAGAGTTCAGCGGTGCAAGATGGTGTCTTATAAGTGGTATACTGAACAGGGGTGGCAAAGTGTAGTCAAATCCAGACTCCCTTTCCATCACTGAGAGTAAAGGGAGATAGCGGGAGAAACAAGAGGAAAAAGAAACCAGATTCATACATAGAGATAATTTGCAGACCAATTTACAGAGGTTGTCTTTCTAAATCAACTGCTTTTTCTATTATTTCCTGAAGTCATTAAATAAACCACTGCCAGTGCCGTGAGTTCAGAGCTGATACCTCGGTTTTGGCAATTCACTCTACTGGTCCTAGAAATGCTCCAGATAGAATGGAGCTGAAAGAATTACAGTGTTTCCTTCCTCTTGATGACGTTTTCTAAGAACATGCCTGGAATGAGTGAGTGTGGGAGATGGGGTGGTATTCACACAGAGGCAGGGCTGCAGGTGCACATGAAGGAGAGGTGTGCTCTGGTCTTATTTTTGGACGTTGTAATTCCATTGCTAGATTTCCTAGCTCATCCTCTCTTGGTATTTTTTTCTTATCCTAACCTCTGCCCTCTTTCTCGAGATCTTAAAGTTCCTGATGAGGCTAGAAGCAAGTTAGATGCCTCAGGGATAGGGTTGGGAAACTACTCTAAGCAAGTTTTTCTCTCCCAATCCCAAGTATTGAGTTCGTGTCGCAATAAAATGCAACCCTAACTCTGCTTAAATTAAGACTTGACGTTGAAATTCCTCTTCCTATTTAATCAGTTAAAGATTAACTCCCAGTGAGATAATCTTCAAAACATCACTGCATACAGCAAACATTGGTAACTACCATTAAAAATAGATTGTATGAGGACTTCATGCCAGGCACAATGCTTGGCAAAAGTAGGTGCTCAAAAATGGTTTGCTAAATGAATACTGGTTAGCCACAAATGCTCAGCAACAATTGATCACTTTCCTGTGGCTCACATACAGAAGGGTCATGTATGTGAGCTTTAGGTATGAGAAGGCATATATCAGGTTTTTAGGGTGGATCTTAAAAGTTATCTGCTTAGTTTTACCAAAATAAACTCAGTGAATACCCAAAAGTCTTTTAAATACACGCAAGGAAGTCAGTTTAGACTCAGGAGAGAACTTTCATTTTTAACCTCATTATTCTCAGGCAGCTAAGTGAATGGATGGACTTGAATCAGGCAGGTCTGGAATCCATCGATCCATTGATCCATTGATCCATCAATCCACCCATCAATCCATCCATCCATCCATCTATCCACACACCCAACAAATACTTATTAAACTCTCTATATGCCGAACACTGTGATAGGCAGGATTTTCCTATATATATCAACGTGAACAGACTCAGTCCTCATCCTCATTGAACTTACCATCTAGGGAAAGAGAGAATAAATCAAATAATCACAAACTGTGGTAATTTTTATGAAGGGAACAAACAAGGGCGTGAATCAGAGAATGAAGGGATGAGAGTGTGTAGGTATGGTAGATAGAGCAGGCAGAAAATCTCTCTCTGTGAGGAAGTGGTACTTACACTGAAACCCAAAGGATGAGCAGGAGTTAGCTACTCAAAGAGTGGGGAAGAGCATTCCAGAAAGAGAGAACAGCATGTACAAAGGCTGTGAGGTAGAGAAGAAAGCGCATGAAAGACCAGTGAGAATTTGAATCCCAGCTCTGTCTTCCATACCTGTGGAATATAAAGTAATTTGCTTAATTTTGTTAAGCCTCCATTTCCTCATCTTTAATATTGAGATAGTGTTGTATACCTCACAGGGTTGTTGGAAGAATTTAATGGGTATTAAATAAGATAACATGTAGCTTACTTGAATCACTTGCATTTACATCAAGGTCTCTGAGAGTCCAATGTGCTTGATCCAACTACCAATGAAGCCAGAGAATATTGTCCATCCCAGATATTTCTACATTTAAAGAGAGAATAGGCACAGATTCCATTTGTTCCATATTAGAACCTTTTGAAATCAAAAGAGAAAAGGAGAAAGAGAGAGGGATAGGGAGAGATAGACAGAGACAGAAAAAAAAATACAGAGAAAGTAAAATAATTTCTCTTAAATGATTTTGCTTCATATTTACGGAATATATTTGAAAGGGCAGGTAAGATTTTGTTTTTACATTTGGGGAAGGAGTGGAGTTTGAGGTTATTTGTTTAGGAAATAAAGATAAATGAAATAATGGTCACTGAATATCCAGTCAGGAGCCCTTGTGGCACAGTGGTTAAAGTGCTTGGCTGCTAACCAAAAGTCGGTGGTTCGAACCCACAGGTCACTCCATGGGAGAAAGATGTGGCAGTCTGCTTCTGTAAAGATCTGCTACCTTGGAAACCCTATAGGGTAGTTCTACTCTGTCCCACAGGGTCGCTATGAGGTGGAATCAACTCAATGGCAATGGATTTGGTGTTTTTTGTTTTTTGTTTTTTTTAGTATTTAATATGTGGCAGACACAGTGCTTGGCAAGTTATGTATTTTATCTCATTTAATCTTCGCATGAATCCTGCAAGATAGGTTTTATTTGCCTCATTTTAAAGATGATGCAAGTGAAGCTCAGAGGGAAATTTAGACTTCAGTCAGCTACTGTCCCTCTCTTATCATGAAATTTAATGTGCAATTGGGCAATTCCTTGACAATTATGATACTGATAAATTTTATGTCAATATCAATTATGACATTGGTAAATCTAAAGTTAGCATACAGTGCACACGGTTGATTCTTTAGAATACCTTATTGTGACAATGCAGGCCGTATCATAAATTTAATTTATCTTAACTCAACAAGTATTTACTGAATACCCAGATGTGTCTCAGGCACTCTAGTAGGTTGAGATATATAGCGCATGGCTTGTCTTGGGGACTAAGAATAACTGATAGTTCATTGCAGCCAGGGAATGGAGTGGGGCAGGAAAGGTTAGTAGGGTTTAGGTGATAAAGGGTCTTGATATCATGGTAAAGGGTTTTGGATCTTATCCTGTGGAATAGAGAGAAGAATAGCATTTTAGTAAGACTGACCATAGAGCTATTTTTAGACAAGGCTTTGTGAATAGCAGTTTCTCCTGCGTGGGCATGTTAATAACTTTCATCACATATTGTGCTCCCTCTTTCTTTTTAGGAACAGTGGAAGGCGCCATGGACCTGATCTTGATCAATTCCCTACCTCTTGTATCTGATGCTGAAACATCCCTCACCTGCATTGCTTCAGGGTGGCACCCCCATGAGCCCATCACCATAGGAAGGGACTTTGAAGCCTTAATGAACCAGCACCAGGATCCACTGGAAGTTACTCAAGATGTGACCAGAGAATGGGCTAAAAAAGTTGTTTGGAAGAGGGAAAAGGCTAGTAAGATCAATGGTGCTTATTTCTGTGAAGGGCGAGTTCGAGGAGAGGCAATAAGAATACGGACCATGAAGATGCGCCAACAAGGTAATACACCCCTCAATTATGGGCAGGTGAGGCCCATAAGACACATATGTACACCTTTTGTTCTTGGCAGTTGCTCACTTGGAGGCTAGGTATGAACTGTCTGAATGTGGGGCTTAAAGTCCTTGTCTACCTCTTTCTAAACATCACCGGGTTTGGTACACAGAACATTAGAGATAAAAGAGACCATGTCCTAGTGACATTGTGTCTAGTGCATGAGATGAAATATAGCAGTATTTCATGGTGTTCTATCAATGGTCCATGGTCTCCTGGGAAATATAACTATATTACGTGTATGTAATATGAAAATTACAACAATGAGGACAACTGTGCATTGTCAAACTAATCACGCTGGGCTATTTTGAGCTTTCTCATTGATTTTTCACTTGCTATTTCTTTATTTCGCTTGCCCCTGAGTTCTCTCAACAGAAGTTAATGCTTTCAGGGAAAAATTATTGTAGAATAAAAAATTTTAAAATGCTAACATTTATCAATAGCTTAATTTAGCTGATTACTTGGTGTATCAATTATCTATTGCTATAATAATGCTGTGTAACACACAACCATCAACCACAGTGGCATACACAATAAGCATTTATAGCTCACGAGTCTGAAATGGTTGGGTTGACTAGATGACATTGCTGATTTTGGCTGGATTTGCTCGCATGTCTGGGGGTTGGCTGGTTGTACGCTTATTAGGCTGCCCTCAGCTGGGGCAACTAGAGCAACTTGACTCATGTACCTTCAGCAGACTAACCTAGTGTCATGGATTGAATTGTGTCTCTCCAAAATGTCTGACAACTTGGCTAGGTCACAATTCCCAGTATTGTATGATTGTCTACCATTTTGTCATCTGATGTGATTTCCCTATGTGTTGTAAATCCTACCACTATGATGTAATGAGATGGATTAGTGGCAGTTATACTGATGAGATCTACAAGATTAGATAGTGTCTTAAGCCAATCTCTTTTGAGATATAAAAGACAGCAGTGAGCAGAAAGACATGGGGGCCTACCAAGAAAGAAGCGCCAGGAACAGAGTGTGTCCTTTGGACCCAGGGTCCCTGTGCTGAGAAGCTCCTTGACCAGGGAAAGATTGATGACAAGGACCTTCCTTCAGAGCTGACAGAAAGAGAAAGCCTTTCCCTGGAGTTGAGAGAGAAAGCCTTCCCCTGGAGCTGATGCCCTGAATTTGGATTTGTAGCCTAATAGACTATGAGAGAATAAATTTCTCTTTGTTAAAGCCATCCACTTTATAAGCCATCCAAATAACAGTGGCATTTCTGTTACAGTGGCACTAGATGACTAAGACACCTAGGTATGTTCTCATGGAGATGGCAGAGGTGCAAGAGAACAAACTGACACACACAAGACCTCTTGAGACCTAGTTTTGCACACTATCACTCTTGCCTCATTTTATTGTCCAAAGCAAGTCCAATGGCTGAGCCTAGAGTCAGAGTGGGAGGGCACTACAAAGTTAAATGGCAAAAGTATGGATAGTGGAGGGATAAGGAATTTGAGCCACTGTTGCAGTCTGCCACTCTAGATTAAAGACCATGATTCAGTTTTAGTAGTAGAGCACCCAGGCCCAGGTAATAGAACACCGGAATTTTGAAGGAGGATTTTGAGAACCCCCTCTGAGGGAGGAGCAATAACTACTCGTTGCTGCCACCCTCAAGGCAGGGATGTGATGGAGCCTTTCTCGCAAAATAGAAGTGGGTCCTAAGCTAAATATACACATATATATATATTTGTATCTTTACTGAGATATAACTCACTTGCCATGCAATTCACCCATTTATAATGCATAATTCAGTGGCTTTTAGTATATTCACAAACATGTACAACCGTCACCACAGCTAATTTAAAACATTTTCATCACCTCAAAAAGAATTTCCAAACCCTATCACAATCACTTTTCCATCTTCATATTCCCCTCATCCCTAAGCGACCACTAATCTACTTTCAGTTTCTAATGCTGCTTCAAAGACCTAAATGTAAAACCTAAACTATAAAATTCATGAAAGGAAACACAGGGACAATGGTAGGGGCCATAATTTATGGCATAAATAGAATATAAACCATAACTAATAATGCACAAATCCAAGAAGATAAACTAGACAACTGGGACCTCCTAAAAATTAAGTACTTATGCTCATCGAAAGACTTTTCCAAGAGAGTAAAAAAAGAACCTACAGATTGGGAAAAAATCTTTGGCAATGACATATCTGATAAAGGTCTAATCTCTAAAAAATACAGAAAACTTTAACAACTCAACAAAAAAAAGACAAGCAACCCAATCATAAAATGGGCTAAGGACATGAACAGACACTTCACCAAAGGAGACATTCAGGCAGCCAACAAATATATGAAAAGATGCTCGTGATCATTAGCTGTTAGAGAAATGCAAATCAAAACCACGATGAGATACTATCTCAACCCTGCAAGAATACCACTGATCAAAAATTCAGAAAACAATAAATGCTGGTGAGGTTGTGGGGAGATTGGAGCTCCATACACTGTTGGTGGGGATGTAAAATGGTATAACCACTATGGAAAATGATATGGTGCTTCCTTAAAAAGCTAGAAATAGAAATACCTTGTCATTATGTGCCATCGAGTGGATTCCGACTCATAGCAACCCTATATACAACAGAATGAAACACTGCCCAGTCTTGCACCATCCTCACAATAGTTGCTATGCTTGACCCATTATTGCAGCCACTGTGTCAATCCATCTTGTTTAGGGGCTTCCTCTTTCTCACTGGCCCTCTATTTTACCAAGCATTATGTCCTTCTCCAGGGACTGGTCCCACCTGATAACATGTCCAAAGTATGTGAGACAAAGTCTCACCATCCTTGCTGCTAATGAGCATTCTGGCTGTACTTCTTCCAAGACAGATTTGTTCGTTCTTCGGGCAGTCCCTGGTATATTCAATATTTTTTGACAACACCATAATTCAAAGGCATCAATTCTTCTTTGGTCTTCCTTATTCATTGTCCAGCTTTCACATGTATATGAGGCCATTGAAAACACTATAACTTGGGTCAGACACACCTTAGTCCGTAAAGTGACATCTTTGCTTTTTAACATTTTAAAGAGATGTCCTGCAGCAGATTTGCCCAAAGCAATGTGTAGTCTGATTTCTTGACTGCTGCTTCCATGGGCATTGATTGTAGATATAAGCAAAATGACATCCCTGACAACTTCAATCTTTTCTCCATTTATCATAATGTTGCTTATTGGTACAGTTGTGAGGATTTTTGTTTTCTTTATATTGAGGTGTAATCCATACTGAAGGCTCTAGTCTTTGATCTTCATCAATAAGTGCTTCAAGTTGTCTTCACTTTCAGCAAGCAAGTTTGTGTCATCTGCTTATCGCAGGTTGTTAATAAGTTTTCCTCCAATGCTGATGTCCTATTCTTCTTCATACAGTCCAGCTTCTCAGATTATTTGCTCAGCATACAGATTGAATAAGTATGGTGAAGGATACAACCCTGACACACACCTTTCCTGACTTTAAATCACTCAGTATCCCCTTGTTCTGTTTGAACAACTGCCTCTTGGTCTAAGTACAGTTTCCTTAGGAGCACAATTAAGTGTTCTGGAATTCCTGTTCTTTACAATGTTAGCCATAATTTGTTTTGATCCACACGGTCCAATGCCTTTGCATAGTCAATAAAACACAGGCAAACACTCTCTGGTATGCTCTGCTTTCAGCCCAGATCCGTCTGATATCAGCAATGATTTCCCTTGTTCTACGTCCTCTTCTGAATCCAGCTAGAATTTCTGGCAGTTCCCTGTTGATGTACTGCTGCAACCACTTTTGAATGAGCTTCAGCAAAATTTTACTTGTGTGTGATATTAATGATATTGTTCTATAATTTCTTCATTCTGTTTGATCTCCTTTCTTTGAAATGGGTACAAAAATGAATCTTTTCCAGTCAGTTGGCCAGGTAGCTGTCTTCCAAATTTCATAGATGAGTGAGCGCCTCCAGCTCTGCATCTGTTTGTTGAAACATCTGACTTGGTATTCCATCAATTCTTGGAGCCTTGTTTTTCACCAATGCCTTCAATGCAGTTTGGACTTCTTCCTTCAGTACCATCGGTTCTTGATCATATGCTACCTCCTAAAATGGTTGAACGTCAATCAATTCTTTTCGGTACAGTGACTCTCTGTATTCCTTCCATCTTCTTTTGATGCTTCCTGTGTCATTTAATATTTTTCCCATAGAATCTTTCAATATTGCAACTTGAGGTTTGAATTTTTTCTTCAGTTCTTTCAGCTTGAAAAATGCTGAGTGTGTTCTTCACTTTTGGTTTTCTATCTCCAGGTCTTTGCACATTTCATCATAATGCTTTACTTTGTCTTTGACGGTCAGTGAAAAAGAGGAAGACCCTCAGCGAGATGGATTGACACAGTGGCTGCAACAATGAGCTCAAGCATAACAACAATTGTGAGAGTGGTGCAGAACCAGACAGTGTTTCATTTTGTTGTACATCGGTCGCTGTGAGGTGGAACTGACTTAATGGCACCTAAAAACAACAACAACAACAAGATAAATCTTTAGGCGAGTCCACCAATCTTATGGCAACTGGAGGAGCTGGTGTTGCAAAAACTATTTAGTGATTCTGTTCTGCCCCAAGGCTCCCACACCTGGACAGGCAGGGTGACTTCTGGTGCTCTTGATGCTACCCGCTGGGAGGAAGGCACAGAGTTCCAGCAAAGATGACCTCTCGTTCAGACCAGAATGATGTGGCCCCTCACCCATCAGCTACTTTCTCTGGGCTGATGATACCTAAAAGGAAGGAGTCCTTTCTAAATTTACATCATCATAATCACAGGGGGCTGGGGACTGAGAATTTGTCATTTCATGACATTGTCAGCCCTTTAGAAGTTTGATTTTTAATTATCAAACTATTACTCATATGATCCCTATGAGTAATACACCTCTGCACATTTCTCTGATTGGCAGTTTCTTATATAAGTATCTGCAGTTTTC